GTGTTGCTGCTTCTGCTGCTGCTGCTGCTGCTGCTGCCTTGATTGTGCTGCTGCTCGCGTTGCTGCTGCTGCTGCTGCTGCTGCTGCTGCTGCTGCTGTCGGCGGCCCTCAGCAGCGGCCGAAGGGCCCGCCTCCAGCTGCAACAGCAGCAGCAGCAGCAGCAGCAGCAACCGCAGCAGCAGCAACAACAACAACAGCAAAAATCGGGAATATTGCTGCAGTATATTACTTTATTTTCACTACAACTCCAGCTGCTGCTAGGCGACAGCAGCAGCAGCAGAAGCAGCAGCAGCAGCCGCTGCTGCTGCAGGAGACAGCGGCAGCAACAGCCGCATATACGCTCCCGTACGAAGAGAGCAGCAGCAGCAGCAGCAGCAGCAACAGCAGCAGTATATACAGCTGATTTTGCTTCAATAATAGCAACAGCAGCAGCAACAGCAGCCTGCAGCCGCCAAGACACATGCAGCAGCAGCAGCAGCAGCAGCAGCAGCAGCAGCGGAGACGAAAAAGTTGATATCTCTGCAGCGAACTGCAAACTCGTAGCAGCAATAGAATCCATCAAAGCAGCAGCAGCAGCAGCAACAGCAGCAGTAGCAGTGGCAAGAGCAGCAGCAGCAGCAGCAGCAGCAGCAACTGCAGCCGCAGCAGAAGCAGCAGCAACAGCAAACGCAGCGTTTCTGTCAGCTGAAGCACGACAGCAGCAGGAGCAGGAGCAGGAGCAGCAGCAGCAGCAGCTCTCCACAGCTTATCACTGCTGCTGCAGCAGCAGCAGGACTCCTTGCAGCTGCGACACGCCCTGCAGCAACAGGAGCAACAGCAGCAGCAGCAAGGTGGTAGCAGCAGCAGCAGCAACAGCAGCAACAGCAGCAGCAACAGGATGTGGATTTCTTCGTTGGTCTCCTCCGTGTTGAGAGATGAAGAGCCGTCGGAGAATGAGGAGGAGCAGCAGCAGCAGCAACAGCAGCAGCAGCAGCAGCAGCAGCAGCAGCAGCAACAGCAGCAGCAAACCGGACGAGGCGTAGGGTTGCTCAATGAGGGAGCAGTACAGGCAGCAAGTTCTCCAGCTGCAGCATCAAAAGCAGCAACACCAACAGCAGCAGCAGCAGCAGCAGCAGCAGCAGCAACCTCTGGGCAATCAAGCTATGCTGCGCTGCTGCAGCTGGTAGAGCGTCAGCAGCAGCTGCTGCAGCGGGAGGCGCAGGAGAAGCAGCGCCTGGAGCAGCAGACAGCAGACCTAGAACGTACACTACAGCTGCTGCAACAGGAGTTGCAGCAGCAGCGCCTGCAGCAGCAGCAGCAGCAGCAGCAACAGCAGCAGCAGCAGCAGCAGCAGCAGCAAACTAGGCAGCCTTCAGACGACGACATTCATCTCGATGACGGTTGGGGGGTTTCTACAGATGAGCAGAAGGAGGGGGAGCAGCAGCAGCAGCAGCAGCAGCAGCAACAGCAGCAGCAGCAAGAGCAGCAGCAGCAACAGCAGCAGCACCTGGCGTTACTGCAGCAGCAAGAGCTGCAGCTGCAGCAGCAACAAGAAAAACTGCAGCAACAGGAGAAGCTGATAGAACTGCAGCAGCAAAAGCTCGAGCAGGCGCAGCAGCAGCAACAGCAGCAGCAGCAGCAAAGTGCTGATGAGCATGCTGCGTTGCAGCAGTGTATAGCGCGGCTGCAGCAAGAGCTGCAGCAGCAACAGCAGCAGCTGCAACAGCAGCAGCAGCAACAACAGCAGCAGCCAGTTGAAGATAAGGAGCGGGTAATCCAGGAGCTGCAGCAGCAGCTGCAGCAGCTTCAGCAGCAGCAGCAAGAGCTCCAGCAGCAGCTGCAGCAGCAGACAGTGTTGAGGCAGCAGCAAGACGATCTGCTGCAGGAGAGGCAGCAGC